CCTCGAGGAGGGAGAGGCGCTGGGGCTTTGTACCTAAAAATACCAAAGCCAGGCGCTCCGGTGTAAGAGTAAAAGTGAGATTGGGTGCGTGGCTGGCTGAGTCGTTGGAGCCTCGACTCGATCTCAGAGTGCTGAGTTGTGGCCCCATGTTGTGTGCAGACGTCACGTAAAAAATAAATCTTAAAAAAAAGAAAAAGAGGGGCACCTGGGTGACTCGGTGGTTTAGCTCCTGCCTTGGGCCCAGGGCGTGACCCTGGAGACCCAGGATCGAGTCCCACGTCGGGCTCCTGCATGGAGCCTGCTTCTCCCTCTGCCTGTGTCTCTGCCCCTCTCTCTCTCTCTCTCTCTCTGTGTGTGTCTCTCATGGATAAATAAACAAAATATTGGGATCCCTGGGTGGCGCAGCGGTTTGGCGCCTGCCTTTGGCCCAGGGCGCGATCCTGGACACCCGGGATCGAATCCCACGTCGGGCTCCCGGTGCATGGAGCCTGCTTCTCCCTCTGCCTGTGTCTCTGCCTCCCTCTCTCTCTCTGTGACTATCATAAATAAATAAATAAATAAAAATTTAAAAAAAATAAACAAAATATTTTTTAAAAAAGAAGAAGGAAAAAAAAAGAAAAAGAAAAAGAGGGGTACCTGGGTGACTCGGCAAAGAGTCGGCCTTCGGCTTGGGTCATGATCGCAGGATCCTCCCATCGAGTCCCACCTGGAACTCACCGATCCGCTGGGAGCCTGCTCCTCCCTCTGCCTTCGCCCTTCTCCCCAACCCTGGTCTGGGACTAGAGTATACTCTCTCCTCTCTCCGTCTCAAATGAGTAAATCTTGAGAAAGAAGAGGGAAATTGATTCCAAAAGCTGGAAGTCGAATGCAGGGTGAGGGCTCCTCTTCTCACAGGCATGTGACTTCGGGGAAGTCTCTGAATTCCTCGAGCCTCAGCCTCCTCACTTGCAGAGTCCTGCTTATTTCCCCTGGTTGCCTCCCACACGAGATAATGGAAATGAAGCCATTTAATACGTTGTAAGTACCAACCACTTGATTAGGCACAACTCTGCCATGATCCTGGTGACCTGCTGTGAACCTGGTGCGCTGGGTGGTCGCCGGGCCGCGCCTCCCCAGGCACAGTCGGGGTTCACAGGTCCTCGGGGGCCGACCCCACCATGACCCCGGGAGAGAGAGTCACCTCGGGCTTTGGTTTGTTCATTTACTTATTATTATTTATTTATTTATTCATGAGAGAGACAGAGGCAGAGACACAGGCAGAGGGAGAAGCAGGCCCGATGCAGGGAGCCTGACGTTGGACACAATCCCGGACCTCCAGGATCAGGCCCTGGGCTGAAGGCAGGCCCTAAACCGCCGAGCCACCTGGGCTGCCCTGGTTTGTTCATTTGAACAAGGGTAAATGAGCAATTCCAAGGACCACGCTCTGGGGACACAGAAATGTATAAGGCATAGTCCCCACTCCCAAGAGTTGCCAGTCTAGTTGGAGAACCTAGGGCGCTTCCTGAGTTTAGCATTCTTGGGCTGGGTGTGCTCCTCCTTCGTGCATGAAAAGTTGCTCCTAAGAGAATTATTCCGGGGTCAGAAAATAAGAAAGCTCCGGAAAGCTTCTCTGAAAATGCCCTTAACACGGAGCAAGCCACGGGCTCCTGCAGTCTAGTACTCCCCAAATGTCCCTGAGCACAGGCCCACCAGAGCATCTTGCTGAAGTGCGGGTTCTGGGGTGGAGCTCTTCAGCTGTGTTTCCACGATGACCCCCCCCCCATACAGGATAACTGCAGGGACCAAATTTCGAGGAGCCCCGGTTTAATTTTCTAGGTTAGTTCACTGTCCCCTGGAAAGTCACAGAAAGCTTAAGGAGCATCGAGTATAAACAGGGTAGTTGGGAGCAACTTGCTGAGAAGTTGGGGGTAAGGGGGAGCGCTAATGCGGGCTTCGGAGGAAGGGAGGGAGTCCCCGACTCCGACAGTGAGTGGGGGCCCCTGCGAACCCTCCACGCAGTTTCGGTTTGTGCTCAGTGGTGCCACCCTCCAACCCCAGATACCTCCCCCCCAAAATCCCTGCCGACGGGGCCGCAGCTTGCACCTCCCTTCGGTGAGGCCTGACTTTTACCGGCAGGTTGTGTGGTGGTTGCCGGGCCGGGGGTCCTCGGCCTGAGCTACGGGGCGGGGCGGAGGCCGGGGCCGCGCCTCCAGGGCGCCGTCGGGGGTCGCAGGTCCTGGGGGGCGACCCCGCGCCTGGCGCCCTGCGCGCGGCCTCCAGGGGGCGCGGCGGCCCCGGACAGCGGCACCCACGCCCGGGACTCGCGGCCGGCGGCGGGGCAGGGCGGGGCGGGGCGGGCCGCGGGGGCAGGCGGAGGCGCCGCCGGAGCGCGGGTGCCCGGAGCTCGCCCGGCGCGGAGCGGCCAAGCGGGCGCACGGCCCGGCGGCCCTGTTTGTGCTGGCGGCGCGCCGCCGCTATTTGGGGCGGTTTTTATCTCCCAGAAACCAGCAAACCCCAAGCGGAGTCCGGGGAAGATGAAAGCGGCCGAGGGGAGGGGGGAGGGGGGAAGGGAGGGGAGGGAGGGAGGGGGGCCGCGGCGGGCGGGGGCTGGCACCGGACAGGCGGGGCCCGGGGGCCCGAGGAGCCGGCCCGGCGGCGGGGGGGGGCAGAGGGGGGCAGCCCGGGACCCCGGCCCCGCCCTCCTGGGAGCAACTTCGAGGCGGGGCCGAGGGCAGGGGGTCCGGGGCGGGGGGCGGCAGCCCGGGACCCCGACCCCGCCCTCTGCACCTTCGAAGCGGGTCCCGAGGGCAGGGGATGCGCATCCGACGGGGGGCGCAGCTCGGGACCCCGACCCCGGCCCCGGCCCCGACCCCGACCCGCCCTCCTGGAAGCGCCTTCGAGGCGGGGCCCGAGCGCAGGGGGTCCGGGGGGGGGGGGCATCCCGAGCCCGCCCGCAGCGCCCCCGACCGGCCGGGGACGGAGCCCCGCGGGGGAGCCCGGGGCCGGGCCGCACAAAGCCCTATTGTGGCCCGGGGCCGCCGCCACAGTGTGGCTTTTGTTCGCCCTCCGGTCGGCGGCGGGCACGGCTGATTGCAGCCCGGGGCGGGGCGGCTGCGTGCCAGGCGGGGGCCGCCCTGGGGACCCCTGGGGCCGCGCCGCCGTCGACCCGCCGGGGCCGGCCGGGGCGAGCGGGCGGGCGGCGAGCGGTGGGGGGAGGAAGCCCTCGGTCCCCCCCCGTCCCCCCCCCGGCTGTCCCCCGGCCCCCCTCCCCCCACCCCGCCCGCCGTGGGCACCGTGGGGTGCCCGTGGGAGTCTCCAGGTGCCGAGGAGGGCTCCCGTGGGCTCACTCTTCTTTCCTTCTCCTCCATTCTCACCAGGACAAAATTTAAAATCGAACTTTTTATTAAATAATAATAATAATAATAAAAAAAGACTCCATGAGGGCACGATCCTTTCCCTTCCACAATATTACCCTCTCCCCAAGCCCCAGCGGCTTTTACCCTTTAACTTGGGGCCTTGAGGGAGCAGGAGATAGAAAAGGAGGATCCAAAGTCACAGGAAAGGCATTCAAAGGCACGAAGCGGCTTTAAAAGTCACCAGAGGTGGAGTCGGGAGCATTGGAAATCCCAGGTTGGGGGGGCCCGTGGATGCAACCCCAAATCAGCTTGGGGACCTCTGTCCTCCTCGCTGTGTAAATTCTTCTTTCTCGTGGCTTCTAGGCTCCAGCCTAGCAGTGCCTCGGACAGAATGGGCACTCAATAAATACTTGATTTATTTGAATCTGATCCCAGAGAAAGCCTCCCCCGCCTATTCTTCTGGAGACGCACCTCCAACCCAGTGTGCTCCTCCTGTGAGGTGGGCTTCCCCAACGAGCACGTCTAGGATGGCAGCTGCAAGCTCTCCATAACCATGGCAACGAGGGATTAGCCTGATGGGGTCATGGTGTCAGGGGAGGGGCAGTGGAAAGAACCTGCTCTGGGGTCAAGGGAGCTGGGGTACATTCCAGTCCTCCCCTCCATAGGACTCGAGGTTTCACAGCTTCTGGCTGGGGCTGGGAAAATTAGGGATCCCTATTGAGAGACACCCCTTTAACAGACAACTCTTTAACAGAGATCTAGCTAACCAACCCTATTAGCAGAGATTCTATTAAAAGAGAAACCCCATTAACTGAGACCCTGATGATAGGAATTCTATTGACAAGATCTCCACTAACGCTTTTTCTGTACAGAGATACACTTAGCTACAGTTTCCATAGCAGAATCGGACCTCCTTCCCTCCCCAGCTCACTCTACCTGACCTGTCATCATAACTTAGATAAATAGAATTATTATTATTAGTATTCATTTCTCTTGGAACATAGGGGTTAAATATACAGGCCCGGGGGCAGCCTCCCTGACCCTGGGGTCACCCCATCTTTGGGATCAGATCCCCACTGGTCTGCCCCCCTCTTGGCACCCTGCTCCCTGCCAGGTCGCTAACCCCAATCCCCCTAACTCTGGCCCCTAATGAAGAGGCCACCAGGGGGCAATAAATTATCATCATCATCATCATCATCATTATGTTTGTGAAAACAAAAACAAACAAACAAAGCGCTCTGGAGCATGGAAAGCAAGTGGAGTAAGAAGCTGGGAAGACTGGAAGCTAAGCAATCGCGGTAAACAAGCTTGGGAAGCAGAAAGGTCTGGAGTTGCCAAGGAGCTGGTGGGATGGAGAAGGCAAGTGTGGGGAGCCCAGATGGAAGGGAGATGAGACGGTGCGATAGGAGCAGAGGGAATGTTGGGGGGGGGGGGGTGGGCGGCTGGGAAGCCGAGCACAGAAGTCGGGCACAAGGTGAGGGCCTGCAGCACGCGCTCTGGGCGAAGGTCGCGGAGCCGCAGGGCGCGCTGGGGGTCACCAGGCCGGCGGGCGGGGGGAGCTGGCAGGAGCCCCAAGGGCCGCATGCTGGGGCCCAGGGGGTGAGGGCAAGCGGCGGCGTCCACGAAGCCGGCGGGGGCGGGAGGGGCCGGCGGCCCCGCGCCCGCTCAGATCTCCAGCAGGCTGCTCTGCTCCGGGCTGCCCTCGGGGGCTTTCTCTGGGGGCGCGGGGGAGGCGGGGGGTCGGGGCGTCTGGCTGGCCTCCTCCTCCGCGGCGCCGCGCGCCTCCCCCGGGTCCTTGGGGCCGCCGGCAGGGGGCCCGGGGCCCGGCTCGCCGTGGGTGCGCTGGTGTTTGCTCAGGTGGTCGCTGCGGGTGAAGCGCTTGGAGCACAGCAGGCAGGTGAACTTCTTCTCCCGCGTGTGCGTGCGCACGTGGCGCTCCAGCTCGTCCGAGCGCGTGAAGCGCTTGCCGCAGAAGAGCCAGTTGCACACGAAGGGCCGCTCGCCCGTGTGCCAGCGCAGGTGCGCCTTCAGGTGCGAGGCCTTGCCGTACACCTTGCCGCAGCCCGGGATGTGGCAGCTGTGGATGGGCTTCTTGCGCAGCCCGGCCGCCGCCGCGCCCAGGCGCTCGAGCTCCTGGCAGTTGGGGCAGTCGCAGGAGGAGCGGCCCGCCCCGCCGCCGCCGAAGCCGCCGCCCCCCGCGCCGGCCCCCCGGGGCGCTTTGGCCGCACCGCCCCCCTCCAGCGGCCCGCTATTGCTCACCGCCTTGGGCTTATAGACGTCTTGGGGCAAGACGTGCTGGGGCCCCGGCTGCAGGAGGTGGGGAGCGGGGTAGGGGGCCGGGTTGAGGGGGGCAAAGTCGGACGGGTAGGTGGGCAGCTGGGGGTTCAGCGGAGGCTGAGCCGGGCCCGCGGGCAGTGTCCCTTGCAGCCCATCACCCTGGCCCTGCCCACCACCTAGCCAGTTGCCCCCGGGGTGCATGTCCCACCAGGGAGCAGGAGCGTTGCCAGGGCCCGGCGAGATGCCTGCGTGGATGCCTGCCTTGTACCAGGAGCCGTAGGGATGTGCCATGTCCAGGGAGGTGTAGACACTGGGCAGGCAGTCAGGAGAGCTGTGGCCCTTGGGCACTAGTAGCCCGGGGTCCTGGGTGCCCGTGGGTCCAGGGAATGAGTGGGAAAAAGGAGGGTACTCATTGGCGTAGCCCGAGGTGGGGGCAGGAGGACTGCCTGCAGGTGAGAGGAGCCCATTGGTGCTTGAAAAGGGGGCTGGGTAGGCGTCCCCCATGGTTTTGGGGGCTGAAAGGTCGCTGCCCACGGAGTATGGCTTCTTTGCGCCTGCTTTGCCCAGTGTCGTTGAGTCCCGCAGGGGGCTGGTGCCGCCAAATTTGCTGCACGCTGCCGTCAGCATGGCCAGGGGGCTGGAGCCATAGTGAGCTTCCTCCTGTGGGCAGAGGGAAGCGCTGCTTAGGGGGGGCGGAGAGGCGGGAAGGGAGGCAGACTCTGCAGAGGGAGAGCAGAGCCAAGGGCCCAAGAAGAGTGGAAGAGGATGGGGGGGGGGCAGTGAGCAGTGGGCCCCAGGGCAGAGCTCCAAAGAGTCAACGGAGGGGAGCAAGGTCTGGAGCAGCCTAGCAACTGGAGGAAGGAGGCAGGAGGCAGGAGGCTGGAGGCTGGAGGCAGGAGGCTGGAGGCTGGGGGCGGAGGCAAGGAGGCTGGAGGTAGAGGCTGGAAGCAGAGGCAGAGGCTGGAGGCAGGAGGCAGTGGCAGGAGACAGAGGCTGGAGGCAGGAGGCCACTGTGCAGTTGCTGGGAGGTGCCAGGCCTCAGATGAACAGGAGCCACTTCTTGGCTATTCAGCCGCAGGGACGGACGCAGCACCGAAGTGAGGTGAAAATTAGGGGTCCTACCCCTGGAAGTGGGTTCTGAGCCGGGGCCGTGGTCAGAGACTTGGGGAGAAAAGCTGAGACTCAAAGAGGAACGTGGGAAGAAAGCGAAGTATTAGGGGGCAGCTGCCCCCCCAGAGTGTCTCAGCTTTACCCCCGAGCCCACTTCCTGTCCCGCTCCAGCTCCTGACCGAGGCAGCGAGTGGCCGGGTCTCCCTGAGGCCGCAGCCTATGTCCCTGGTAAGGAATCTCTTGGCAGGGACTCGAGGGCTGGGGAGCAAGAGGAAGCGACGCGGAGACACTGGGACATTGAGAGGGAACAGGGCCGCCGCCAAACCAGGACTGTGGCTGAGGCAAGAATGTCTTTCAAGCGGGCAGTGGGCACCTCCTGCTCTGTGGAGCCGGCTGGTCCCCCTTTGGGAAGGCTGGAGGGGCCCGACGTCCTCACAGCCCCCGGGCCGGGAACTGGGGTGGCCCAGATCCTGGCTCAGGGCCGCCCACGGCCCCCCAGGTCCTGCGGCCCCTAATGCGCCCGTGTGGCTGGTCTCTCTCCAGGCGCGTAGATGCGGGGCGCAGGGCTCTTTCAGAAACGCGAAATGCCCTTCATGCCCATCATGCTGCTCCTGCCAGGCCAGGCCACCCTGAGATTCCCCTCCCCCAGGAGCTCGGGGCACCCCCGCAGTCAGCCCCAGGACAGGCCAGCAGGAGGTACCCTCCGGAATCCCGGGTACAGGCAGCCATTATCGAGGATCCCACCCAAAAGGATGCCCCCCCCCCAGCAGCTGAGCCCGCACAGTTCCCTGATGGGATCCTCAAAAGCTGGTGTACCTGGTGCCTTCCCGGTAAAGCTGGGACAGACCCCGGGCACCAGGCCTACAGGTCAGTCTGGGGCTTCTGGGCCAGGCCGTGGCGGGGGGCGTGTGCACTCAGCACTCCCGCACTGCTCCCCAAGGGCAAACCTGCCGCTGCCCTGTGCAACCACGTCTTTCTGCAGTCCTGTCCCCTCGACCCACGGACCCCAAATTCGAGCCTCCAAAGCCTTCCTGAAATCTGGCTATGGGAAAAGCCCTGTGTCCTCCCCAGTTTCCCAGGAGCCTCCGATCTCACAAGCAGAGGGTAAGCTGAGGCAGGGTAGCTGATGGGGCAGGAGTCAAACCCTAGCAGAAAAGTAAAAACAGGGGCGCCTGGGGGGCTCAGCAGTTGAGCATCTGCCTTTGGCTCAGGTTGTGACCCCGGGGTCCCGGGATCGAGTCCCACGTCAGGCTCCCCACCTGGAGCCTGCTTGTCCCTCCGCCTGTGTCTCTGCCTCTCTCTGTGTCTCTCATGAGTAAATAAATAAAATCTTTTAAAAAAAGAAAAGAAAAGAAAGGTTAGAAACAGAGTGCAAAGGGGAGAGGCAGAGACCCAGAGCCCGGAGGAGCAAAGGACCCTGCAAAGGCACAGACGGAAAAGCCACAGGGTGGGGGGGGGGGGACGGGACAGAGAGGAAAACTGGCATGAGGGGCAGACATGGGCAGGGGCTCAAAAGAGCAGAAAGGTGAAAAGACAAAGGGCAGAGAGAGAGAGGAGAGCAGACAAAGAGGTGATGGAGAGAGCCTGGGCCAGGAAGGCGGAGGAAAACAGAGGGAAAGAGGAGGAAGAAAACAGAAAGGGGGGAGGAGGAGGAGGAGGAGGAGGAGGAGGACGGCTCTCCTACCTAAGAGAAAACCACCATGATGCTGGGCCCCAGAAAACCCCCAGACCAGGCCACTCCTCCCTCCCTCTCCCCCTGACCGCTTCTCCCCCCCGGCCCAGCCCGGCTCCGTTGGTTTCCCTGCGGTCGGTTTATTTTTAAAAACGCCGACGCCGTCCCCCCCGCCCGGCCCTCACACTGTGGCCACAGGGGCCTCAGCCAAGCCCAGGGACCCCACCCAGCTGGGAGAGGGAAGGAGGGGTGAAAGAAGGCAAGCGGCCCCAGGCCGACAGGAGACCCCGGCCCTGGAGCCGAGGCCCCGGGGCCCCTGAGGGCAGGGAAGGGGGGCAAGGCGCCAGGCCCGCTCAGACGGTTCTGGAGGCCAAGAACCGGGCACCTGGCTAGGTCCACCACAGCCTCAGGTCCCTTCTCGGCTGCTCGGGCGACCCGCGAGCGTCCCACATCTGTGCCCCCAGGCCCGGCCACATGCTCTGGAGCTGACTGCCCAGGAGCCCAGGAGGCCGCCTTCCAGCTGTTTCCCTCCTACCTCCACCCCACCTTCTGCTAACACAATAAAAGGGCTTAATGCACTGACAAGGACTCTCCAGAGAAAGAGCAAGGGGCGTCCCAGCTCTCCCCACACGTGCCGGGAAGGGGGCCCCCTCTTCCCAGGGCCTCGGGGTGCCCAGCGGACCTCCTGCTGAGCTCACAGCCACCTGAGGGCCCGCTGGCCTTCCCCGTGGGCACCTGAGTTCCAGGGTCCAGCGCCAGCTCTCCGCCGCCAGCCTCCGCCCGCGGCCGGTCCTCCCACCTCCAGCTGCCATCCCCACCCGGCCCTCACCACTGCTCCCTCCTGCCTCCCGCCCTGCAGCTCAGGCGCCCAGGTGAGCCTCTCGCCCAGGTGAGCCTCTCGTCAGGCAGCAGCTGCGTCCCTCTCGGGACGCCAGAGGGCCCCCCCACCCCGTGCGGGCAGAGGGCTCCCTGGGTGGGCAAGGGGGACGGATGAGGGCCCAAGTGCCCCCACAGCAGGAGCACCAGGCGGAGGGGCTGGATGCCCTCGTGCGGGGGCATCTCCAGCTCCCGGGCAGTGAGGGACACCAACACCCAGACTCCAGGGCGCGCTCCCCTTGCCAAGTGCCACCCCAGTCCTGCGCCCCTCCTGCAGGCCCCTCCCCCGGGCCCCAGTGCCACGCTGGCAGCCCTGGCCCGGCGCCCACGCCCACTGACACTGCCCCTGTCCCGAGGCCCCAGGATGTCCAGGCACCTCGTCCTGAGGCTTCCTCGAGACCAACTGCAGCATGTCAGTGCGGGCTCAGCGTGGGGCCTGGCGAGGGGACGAGGGGATGGCAGGCGGGCAGCCCGCCCTCGGTGCGCAGGTACAGCACACCTGGGGGCCCGACTGACGGAGCCGTGACCAGGGCCGCCGTGTCCACGCCCCCGGCTTGCCTGCCTCTCCCTGACGCTCCACGCAGCCTGACCTGCTGCCGCTCGCCGCTGGACCACAGATGCTCAGGGGCCACTGCATGTACGCACCTGCGCTCCCACAAAGGCTGCCCCACGTGCAGGCCGCGTGTTCCTGCTAACGCTTGGGCCCAGGCCAGTGAACGCGGGGTCAGCGTCCTGCGCCGCCTCGCACCCCCCCAGGCCCAAGGAGTGGGCTTCCCGTCTGGCCCGTCACCCCTGGGGCTGAGCTCGGGCACCGGGAGCAGAGACGGGGACTTCCGAGGGGCCGGGGAATCTGGAACGGTCAAGGCTACTGAAGGTGCTTGACCTGAAGGGAGCTTTCTGGCTCCAAATTCCTGTGGAGGGACCCAGACGGCAGGACAGAGATGACAGAGAAACAGAGTCAGCGACCCAGAAGCAGGGAGAGAGAACTCAGGCCGTGCTGAGTGGCCGCGAGGGCCTGCGAGTCCTTCCTTTCCAACTGCGCACCTGGAGTCCCCCGGAACCCCTGACCCCGAACCTGACCTCCATGGCACCCTGGTTCCCTCCAACCCCAGTGCCAAAGGCTGGGGTCCCAGCCTGTAGGGGAAGTGGCCCAGTCCGCCCTGGAGCCTCCCACTCCCAAAATAGAGCTGAGTTTGTCTTTGGCTGAAAGCTAAATATTTGTGAGCCGGGCAGGCGGCCTCAGACCCTGGCCCTCCTCCTGGGTTCCCCGTCAGGCCCGGGCCGGTTCCTCTGGCCAGCCCCCCCACATGCACAGCACTGCCCGCTCCCTTCTCTCAGGGCTCACCTGATCCCCCGCACGCCAGGCCAGAGGCCCAGCCCCTGACCACCTACCGGGCAGACCAGCTGCCGCTCAGGCTCGGCCTGGAGCTCCCCAGAGACAGACCCGGGGCCCCCAAGGCACTGTCCCCATTTGCTGCCTGGTGCCCGCCCCCCAGCCTCTCCTTCGCTGTCCCCCCTCTTGGCTGAGCTGCCCCCACCCCTCCTCTTCCTCCTTTCTCCATCCCCGTCCACTCCTCAGGGTTGGCCTGCAGGCGGGGACCTCGACCTCGGAGGTGCGTGCCTTCTCCTGACCTGACCCCTCTCATCTTCCTCTGACTGCTCTCTGACCCCTGCCCCCTCTGTCCCGCCCTCCCTCCTGCCCCCTGCTCCCTGCAGAGCCCTGTCCTCTCCTCATCAGAGGGACCCTGGAAGTGACAGGCACCACAGCCACTGTCTGTGTGAGTTGGGAGGTGGGGGCGGGCAGGGGTTAGGGCCAGTAGGACTGTCGCTGGTGTCCTGGGGGGAGGAGGGGACAGTTACCTCAAGCAGGGAGGACGCCATCCTGAGGCTGGGGACCGGGTCCCAAGGAGCCAGGCAGATGGAGAGAGCCAGCCGAGCCGGGGAGAGGGAGAGGGAGAGGGAGGGAGAATGGGAGAATGGGAGAGAAGAGATCTAAAGTTAGAAGGGACTGGGGGGTGGGGGTGGGGGGGCTGTGCTCTGTCTGTAGGGATCCACCCTCTAATTACAGCTTTCCCAGCGGAGAAGGCTCCGGATCCAATGAGCAGGGCGAGAGAGGGAGGCAGAGGGTCCAAATTTCCTGCTCCATTTGCTGAGCTCCCCAAAGAAGGGATCTGGGCGGGAGAGGAGAAGCCGGGCTGGGGAAGGGGTGGAAGCAGGAGGAGGTAGGGCGGGGGGCACGTTGTCAGGGGTCCCGGCGGGCTGCTGGCGGGGAGGGCCGGTGGCCCAGGTGTCCCACACCCCGCCCCCAGCGGCCCCGGCTCCCGGGTCAGGTACCTGGGGGCGCCGGGGCCGGGCGTCCTGGGGCTGTCCTCCCCGCAGCTCTGGCAGGGGGCGTGCGGGCGAGGGGTGGCCTGCGGGCCCGCGCCGGGGGGCCGGGCTCCCCTCCCGGGCCAGCCCCGCTCCCCTGCCACTCGGGCCGCGATCCGGGGTCCTCCTCTGCTCCAGAGTCCCGGCTGCCGCTGCTGCCGCCTCTGCTGCCGCGCGCCTACTGCTGCTGAGGCCGCGCCGCCCAGGGAAGGAGCAGGAGGGAAAAGGAACAAACCCCAAACCACTAATTAGACATCCAGGGGGGGGATGGGGGATCGGGGACGACACTCGCACAGAGAGCCTGGAACACACTGACACACACACTCACGGACAGCCCCGGGATGATCCGTGCACACGTCCGCGCACACAGTGCTGCCCACACGGCCACGGCCACTGTTCTGACCGAGCACAGCCACACTCGCACACAAGTGAGCACAGTGACACGGCTGGAGGTGGACACACCACACACACACACACACACACACACACACACACACACACACACCCCGGGCTGACCACAGAGATGCTTGCGTCCCCAGTCACCCTAGATCTGGAGGACGGGCCTTGTGTGTGTGTGTGTGTGTGTGTGTGTGTGTGTGTGTGTGTGTGTGTACATGTAAGGCAGGAGGGAGGCCGTGCTCTGGGTGGAGGCTTTAGTTCCCTAAACTTTTAGGGTCACTGAGGTATGTTAGTGAGCCAGGCCTGGAGGAGGGGTGCAGAGTGGAAGAGGCCTTGGCACAGGCTCAAGGGTTCCCCAATCTTCCCACTGCCTCAGTTTCACTCCTAGAAAGGAGCACCCAGGCCTCCCTCCCTCTGTGGGGCAGACGCTGGATCTTCAGATTCTGAGAAAATTGAAGGTGGGCAGGAGTGAGGGTGGAGGTGGAAGGTCACCGGGTCAACTCATCCATGCCCGTGCCGACCGCCTAGCCCCTTTGGATTAACTCCCAAGAAGATAAGCCCTGGTCTCCATTATTCCTCACCAGTTACCATCCCCAGGCTCCCCTTGGCCACACATCAAATCTCCATCCTTTGCTGGATGGTTCTTCCTCTGAGTGGTCATGCTTTCCTGGGAGGGAGCTCCTGGTTCCTTCTCTCACCGCCACGCAGCAGTGCTCTCTTGCAGCAGGCAGAATTGAAGCTAGAGCTGCAGCAGGACTTCCCAACGGTGACTTCTCATCAAAGTGGGGAAGATAAGAAGGAAGGTGGCATCTCTCCCACAGAGGGGCCCTGCCAGGCTGCTGTTGCTTTGCAGCTTATTCCCCAGCATAGCCCTCAACCCCTCGGAGACCTGTCCTCCACTCGCCTCACTTCCCAGCACAGTTCCCTTACTTTCTCTCCTCGAGTGCCCACTTCCCTGCCTCTCTGGCTCTCCCTGATGAAGACCTGGAGGTCCAGGGAGGGCTAAGCACAGTTTAACCAGCAGGCAGGATCAAAGTTCAGGACAAGAAATTTGGATTCCAGTCCCATGATGTGAATCTCCCCAAGGAACCATGTGGGCCCAGTATTTGGGGAAAGGCGTAGAGAACCAGGGTAAATGACAAATGGAAAGGAAGGGAAAGACGAAGGAAGGAAGGAAGGAAGGAAGGAAGGAAGGAAGGAAGGAAGGAAGGAAGGAAGGAACGGAAAAAAGAAAAGAAAAGAAAAGAAAAAGAAAAGAAAGAAAAAAAAACAGAAGAGAAAGACCCAGAGACACAGAGAACAAATAGAACAATCCCAGAGAATCAGAAGAGACGCTGTGGGACATAAAAGAGAAAGAGACAAGAGGGCGACACTAGACCAGGTGCTTGGCTTTAAAAAAAAAAGAAAAAGAAAAAACAAAACACGGGGGTGGGGTGGGGAGGAAAAGGAAAAGAAACAGGCCGGGAGGAGCAAAGATAGAGACAATGGCCTGGAAGGCCGAGGAAGTAGCCGGAGGCCTGGCCAGGTCTGGAGGAGGCAGAGGGTGAAGCGCCGCGCAGGTGGGGGGCGGGGATGGAGTATAAATAGCGCATAATTGTGTCCGATGATTACACGGGCCACCCCACCCGTCTGCCCAAGAGGAAGTGCCCGTGGTGGGGTGTCCCTGTGACCTCCCAGTCTCCCCCTGGTGGGGGCATCTGAGGCTGAGGTGCCAGATGGATTTCCGGAGGGCCCCCCACTCGGAAGCTAGGAAGAAGGGGAAGCTTTGGGGAAATTACTGCCCAGCCAGAGGAAGAGCCTGAGACCCCTTAGACCAGGCAGGCAACTGAGGCAGAGAAAAGTCTAGACTCCAGCATCCGGAAGAGGTGGCAGGTGAGAGAGAAGGGGTTGGAGCTCAGCCTAGAATGGGGGAGAAAGGAAGAGACCGAATGGAAAACAAGGCAGGACAGGACGAATGGAGGTGCAGGGCTGGGGAGAGGAGGTGGGCGGCAGAGGTCAACCTTGGGGGCCCATCCCTGACCTGGGAAGGGGCAGGGTGCTGGGAAGGGAAAGGGAGGAGCCAGGTTCCCGAAATATGCCAGCCAGGGCCCCTGGTGTGTTACGCGGGCGGGTGCTGCACACAGAGCCCTCCCCGCCGCAAAGGTGGGTGCCACAGCCAGGCAGAGGGGGTGCCTGAAGCCCCCAGCTGCCTCCCTGGGGACCCTGGGACCTGACTGCTTCCACACCCTTGTTAAAGACAGTCCTGCTGCCCAGCTGAAGCCCTGGCATTCCTGGGTCCAGACCCCCACGCCCCCTCCCAGCGCCTCCAGGGGCTAGGGGCAGCAACTGGGAGCCCTGACCAGGGACCTGCCTCCACCCTCGCAGGCCTCCCTCAGCCCAGCCTCCCAGGGGGTGGGGCAGCCCAGACCCAGGCGCCATGTGGCAGGGGCGGGTAGAGGCTGCGGCTCTGGTCCTTCCAGTATAAACCCCCTAGGCATCTGGTTTCTATCCACCACCCCCCACCACCCTGGGGGCCCCTCAGCCTCCGCCCATGGCCACCCAGATGCTGAGCTCGGAGATGGACGCCCCTGAAGGAAGGGGTGGGATGGTGCCTTTCTGATCTCTCAACCCCAGGACTGGGCTGAACCACAGGGACCTCTCCCTTCCCTCCCTCCCGTGGAAGTATCAGGGTGGGATTTCTAGGTTAGAGGGGTTGAATCTGGAACCTGCCTCAGTTCTCTCTAATGCTTAGGGGTCTTTGGGAAAGATTGGGGGGTGGGATGGGGTGAGGGGGAGAGACAGTGAAAACTGGCCAGAGTGGAAGACGTCTATCCCCCTACTCCTCAGGAAGCTGCCTCCCTTCCACACCGCTGCCCTCTGCCCACCCTCCTGGGCCGGGCTCCTGCTGACAGCCCTACACCGAAGGGACTCCTAACCCTTTCCTGTTGTCGTTATAGCAGGTTTGGCTACCCTAGAATCACCAGGGAACAGCCAGTAGAAGCCCCAAAATAGAGTTGGACGCAGACTCTAACACACACCTAAATGAGTGACACCCTTTTAGACACATGCTTGCACACATGCTGAATTATGAATACATGTGATGAATGCAAGGGTTGGGGGCACCCCCACAGTCAAAGTCAAAGATCAGTATATAACTTTTGATTCCCCCAAAACTTAACTACTAATAGCCTACTACTGACCGGCCTTACCCATAACATAGTTAACACATATTTTGTATGTTCTATTATATGCTGTATTTTTACAGTAAAGTGAGCTAGAGGGACACCTGGGTGGCTCAGTAGTTGGGCGCCTGCCTTCGGCCCAGGGAGTGACTCCGGGGTCCCAGGATTGAGTCCCACATCGGGCTCCCTCCGGGGAGCCTGCTTCTCCCTCTGCCTGTGTCTCTGCCTCTCTGTATCTCTCATGAATAAATAAATAAAATATTTTAAAAAATAAAGTGAGCTACAGAAATTAAAAATGTTATTAAGAAAATCATAAGGATAGGGCACCCGGGTGGCTCAGGGGTTGAGCATCTGCCTTCCACTCATGCCGTGATCCCAGGGTCTCAGGATTGACTCCCTGCATCATGCTCCCCGCAGGGAGCCTGCTTCTTCCTCTGCCTGTGTCTCTGCCTCTCTCTGTGTGTCTTTGTGAATAAAATAAAATCTTAAAAAAAATCATATCATAAGGAAGAGAAAATATATTTTTGTACTGTAAAAAAAAAATGAGTGTATAAGTGGGCCCATGCAGTTCAAACCCACGTGGCTCAAGGGTCAACTGAATACTCTGCAGGCATCCACCCTGATACACGCTGATTATATCCATGTATCTCCTACATAAATGATGTTTATACCAAGATACTTAGCCTAACCCCCGAACACAAAAACGCACACAGCAGCGTACGTACACGAAGATAGACTCCCAGTCGCCTGCGACACCCTACCAACCAGGGACCCAGACTCCCATAGTACACACATTTACATATATGGACGTCGCACACGTACACACGGGCCTATCATCACAGCTGCACAGCTCTAACGGTCCCCAAGGGAGGATTTAGGACCCCTTTTTTCCCACAGGAATCTGGGGATAAGGGTAACGTGGAGGGCACTGCCAGCCTACAAACTGCCTTCTGCAACTCCTGCTACTGTAGCAGCCTCTAGGGTACCTTTGTGGGACTCAAAGATCTTTTACCCCCCACCCCCGTGCCCTTCCAGAGTGGAGAGACCCAGGTGCCCCAGCGAACTCCCTGGCCCTGGGGAACCCTGGCATCCCCACCCCCACCCAGACCCCCCCTGCTCTGCGGCCCGCTGACTCATCCCTCCCTCTGTGGAGCTCCCCAACCACAGGGGCCTGGAAGAGAAGCTTGGAAAGTTGCGCTCATGTCCCGGGCCCCTGGTCTGGCCACTGCCCGCCGCCCCCCCCATGCACCCAGGCCCAGCCCTTGTCTCCAGGAGAGACACCAGTGACAGAGAACACAGAGGGGACAGGAAAGAAGAAGGCACTCAGAGACAGGGAAGCAGGAAAACGAAAGGACAAACACAGGGAGAAAACAGAGATAGATGGTGGGGAGAGAGATAAGAGGCCGCAGGGGGCAGCTGCTGACCCTGTGGGGCGTGGGGCCCTCCCTCCAAAAGCAATGGAGCTGGTGACCGGGGAGACCTGCTCCTTGGGTTGGGGCAAGAGCCACTCAGATGTTTCGGGGTGCAGGTACTGCCCCATTCTTTGATGGAGCATTCGGAGCCTAGGCTCAGGGCGCTTGGGGAAAGGGATCCAATTCTGGAAGACAAAGCTGAGAACACAGGGCAAAGGGGGAGCGTTCAAGAGCAAGAGGCCAGCAAGGTCTGTATAGGAGAGGTTGGAAAAGGGAGTCCCCTCCCCAACACACACACATACACATCAAAGTGTCACACGCATACCCCAATTCCCTCACTCTCTGCTGGGGCTCCCCGTCCCTTCTCCCAGCACCAGGGCTGCCAGCCCTGGCTCCTTCCTCTCTGCTCTGAGCCCTGGCTTCCTTAGTTGACATTTGAGTCCTGAGGTAATACAGCAATTCCAGGAGAGGCCCGATCGATCAGAATCAGAAAAGAGAATGCTGGGGCGCCCGGCTGGCTCAGTCAGAAGAGCACGTGACTCTTGACCTCAGGGGTCATGAGTTCGAGGCCTATGTTGGGTGTAGAGATTACCTGAATACATAATTTTTTTTTAATTGAGAGAGAGAAAAAAAAATTGAGAGAGAGAGAGAGAGAGAGAGAGGGAAGTGCTATGAGAAGGGAAGGAGAAAGGATGGCAGGGGGTGTCACCCAGCCGTTTTCTCAGTCCCAGGGGCCGGTGGCTGGTTTTGAACTTGTGTTGACTATTGATACTTATTTACTGTACAAATATAATTTGTCATTTGTATCATGACAAAGGATGACAGGACAAGGAAAATGCCTGGAAGGGGAAGACTTGAGGCCTGATCCCTGAACAAGGAAGCTGCCCTGGGTTGGGTGTCTCACATGGGTCAGCACTGAATTAAGACTCTGGTCATCTTGAGGAAGTGCCCCTTCGTAAAAATATATACCTGGAGTAACAAAGAGAACTTGGGCTAATAAAGCCCTGATCCTATCTCCCATCCTTGGGAGTGAACAACCCAAGGGAATGGTTCTTCAAAAC